CTGGGATTACAAGCGTCAGCCACCAAGCCTGACCCATGTGATTATTTTTTATGATTCCTTTTTGAGTACTTGATTTGGAGTACTTACTACTTTCAGAAAAAGACTTCTTTTGTGGGAAAAGACTCTGAAACTTCACTTTCTCAAGTATTTGACCTCAAGTCCATTAAGTTTTACAGGACAAGGCAAAGTGGATAGCCGCAAAAGATTTTGATAGGGAAATCTGGGACCAAAATCTTCCTTTTTGGTGGCAAACCATAAGTGTATCAGATGATGGGGACACAGTGACACAGAGGTGTACTCACTGGCCAGATGGGCCAGCAGGCTCTTCTTTCTTTGATCTTTTCTTTGGTCTTTCCTCAGGGACCTTACCCTCATTCTGTTGCTGCTTGTCCGCTTTTTGTAGGTGTGGGGATGTTCAGCTTTGCCAGGTATGGCAGTGATTTTTATAGCATGCGCCATGAAGGCAAAGTGAAGAAGCTCAAGAAAACATCTTCAAGTGACTATTCAATTTTCGACAACTGTTATATTCCAGAAATAACTAGTGTTTTACTACTTCGATCCTGTAAGGTAAGTTACTAAAAAAATCCGACAGGACGGTTTTTTAAAAGAGAATCTTAGTTGCATAAATTGTATATTGTCAGTCTTTAAGGTAATATTATAAATGACTTTGTATCGTTTGTATAATTTTGGTGCATAGTGCTTGACTGAAATGATCAATAAAACAAGGTAAATGGATATCTTCATATTGAAATTTACGGTATCAGTGCCAGTTTTTTGTACTAGTTACACGCAGCCTTGGCTGTACCCATGTGTTCGCTATTAGTGTAATTCCTGAATTCTGGTGTGAATGGGTAACCTACTTGTTCAAGCTACTGTGGTCATTGGGCAAAGCTGCCTTCCCCAGGCCTTTGGAGGACCTCTGCTCTGGCTTCTCTGGGAGCATGGGCCTTCCTGCCCTGGGCTCCAGGCTATCCTCGACTATAGTTATCCTGGCAGTTCCTAATCTCCCCAACTATTTGTTGGAGTTTGAGAGCTACACCTCTTAGAACTACATTCTCTAAGTGTGTTCCATGGGTCCCCTGTGTCATTGCCACCTGATGTTCTCATTAGCATGCACATCAAGCCCCCTTTCTCCCAGACCTACTGAAATCAGCATCTCTAGGGGAAGGGCCCCAGAATCTGAATTACAACGAGTACCCTAGTCTAGATTAAGGGTTCTCAACCAGGGGTGATTTTGCCATCCAGGGAATATTAGCAATGTCTGGAGACATTTTTGATTTTCACAATCAGGGAGGGAGTTCTGTTGGCATCTAGTGGGTAGAGCCAGGGATGCTGCAAAGTATCATGCAGGGCACAGGACAGCCTCCCACAACCTGGTATTGTCGGTCCAACATGTCAGCGGTGTTGAGGTTGAGGAAGTCTATAGCAGAAAGGCAGTAAGACATTTGGGGAGATGAGGGATTATTAAGTCTTTGAAGGTCTGGACGGGGTGAAGTTTCGGTGATAATACTAAGGGAGTTGATTCCTATGTTTCTTGGAGAAGCAAGAAAAAGAAGAGACGTGTAGCTTAATGTGATGGTGGTCTTATAAAGCCTCAACATGATTGTCTTGCAGACTTTAACCCATGAGATCGGACACATATTTGGACTGCGACACTGCCAGTGGCTGGCATGCCTAATGCAAGGCTCCAACCACTTGGAAGAAGCTGACCGGCGCCCTCTAAACCTTTGTCCTACCTGTTTGCACAAGTTGCAGTGTGCTATTGGCTTCAGCATTGTCGAAAGTTATTAAGTAAGTTGAGGGGTGGACAGTGTAAAGAGGGGTAAGTGGTTATCTGAGTAGCAAACTGACATTTCTATTATACCCTTCTCTAGAGTTATAATTTATCAGAGGAAATTAGTGTAAAGATAAGCAGGAAGCTGTGGTTTAAAAACATGCGAAGAAATGCCCTTCTTAAAAACTTTAGCTTGCCTTTGAGTGATTTATGCTTACAGTTCTATGAGAAATAGTGGAAGAAGTTTCCCTGTTTCTATTTCATTTAGGGCAAGAGAGTTTGACTTTGCAAAACAGAATAAATATTGATATGTCTGGCAAAGTTCATTTTTTAAACCCTATAAGTGTGTGGACAGGATTTATCTTTCCAAATATAGGACAGAGGTATGATGTTCATTAGGAGGAAAAAATGATTTTCTTTAAAAAGGAGGAAGGAAAGTACCTAATCTCAGTATGTGTATATGTGTCCCCACACATGCCCACAAACATCAATATACATTCATGTGGCTACTCATGGGTGTGACTGTGCATTCAAGTGACTACGCAGAAATGTCTACACATGTGTTTTCACCAACATATGTCTACCCATGCCTGTTAGTGTACACTTATGTATATACGTACATATCAAATGAATATAATGCCTTGTGGAATATTCAGCAAATTGAGAAAAAATAATATCCTATCATGCTAGAAAAAAAGTGTAAGAATGAGTGTGTTTCTTTTTCATCATTTTTCAGTGCGTATTTTTGGTATGTGTATATTTGGTATGCGCCATTTCACTCAGTATATCATAAGCATTATTTCATATTCACACCATCATTATCAAATGCAGCATCTTGGTGGGGTAAGATGTCACTCTATGATCTAGAAGCCAATGCTCTTCTCTTGCCTGATAGTATTTTGCTGTGGTTTGTTGAAATGCGCATCTTTCCTGTTTTTCCAGGCACTGGTGAGGTGGATTGATGACGAATCTTCTGGCACACCTGGTGCAACTCCAGAACACAGTCGTGAGGGTAATGGGAATTTACCGAAACCCGTGGAAGCCTTTAAGGAATGGAAAGAGTGGATAATAAAATGCCTGGCTGTTCTCCAAAAATAAGGACCTTCAATTAGGAGTGATTGAAATAAATGACTACTTGCATGTTATGCTTTCATTTGGGTGGAATACTTCATCAGAATAAACTACTGATCTTGTGCTGTGTCAGAGTAACAGACTAGAACCTTCTTTCAGGTACCTGAATTGAAATGAAACTCATTTTGAATAATAAAAACTCTAGAAACTCTTTATCTTCTCATCTTGCTGGCCTGGTCTGTGGCAGCAGGCACTTTATTTCCATTCCCCAAATATGCTTATGTCTCCCAACAAAGCTGGGACTGGCAATAACGAGCAAGTAAATAACTTGAAAAAGAACGGTAGATGTCCCAAGGAACCAACCAACATAATTTCCAGGGGGTGATTTTGTTTTTAGAAGAGCTGCTCCCCTCTGTTAGGCCCAGCCAAGTCACATTTTTGGACGTCCGTGGGCTCTGATCTTCACCACAGCCCTCCTCTTCCGAGAGACTTCCTTACTCTCTGGAGTGCATTACCTCGTTTTTTTCTCTTGCTGGGTGTCACCTTATTCCTATATCAGTTTTTAGTAGCTTAAAATATGACCTCTCAGGAATATTTGCAAGTGAAAATAACAATGGTCCTTACACTACCACAACAATTTGGTGGTGGGAGTTCTGTTGCAGGTCTCAGCTATAACATAGTCATTTATGAGGGATCTTACAAATAGGGGTAATGGTATTTGTGAGTGTTGCACTTTTTCTATAGATTTAGAGCAGGTTTCAGGTTTATTTCAGTAATAATGTCCTTCTCACCTTCTTACATTGTGAAGTGTTTACTTGAGTCAGGGAGAGAGTTTCATGGGGTTATCTGTTGGGGTGCCATGAATGCTGATGAGGACCTGCAGAGTGTGAACATCAGCCCCATTGCTACGGGGGTGGAAGTGGAAAACCTCAGACTTGACAAACCACTTCTGCTGCATAGATGTATTTTGGAAATCTAGAAATTACAGTGAATATTTTATGGAATGCCAGTGAGCAGATAGCATTTCCCACTTTCCTATCTTACCTTGAGGGTAAGACTTAAAGGTAATTTTTTTTTTTTTTTGTGATTTGAAACCTAAATTCTTTCATTGTTTGATGTAAGCAATATGATATAAGGCACATTTTATACCCCGAGTCAGTGGTTTCCCTTAGATTCATTCTCCTACTTGATTGAACCCATTTAAGTCGTTTTAGAAAATGGTGGTTTGCTATTAAAATTAATTGGAGAGAATACTTGGTCATTCTATTAGCAAAAAGAGACTGATGGAGCATGGTGTTTTATGGATTCTGTTACAGGGCTTATTTCCTCCTTGAATAATGTACTTTAAAAATTATCTATTCAATTACATTTTATTTTCCTACAAGGTAAGCATGGTTTTAGTCCTGTAGATCAGTCTTCGTCACAAACTCTTTTGAACTAAGATGTGCCTAGGTGAATAAACTGGGGATGACAGTTTTCTGGAGAAGATATAAGGTCCATTTGTGAATACTCTGCACTATGAGATCAGGAGAAAAATCATCTAAAAAATCGTTCACTCTTGCTAAAAATTTTATGTGATGCATTTATTCAGCAATCAAAAGTGCTGTGTATAACTTGTATATATTTTTGGACAATTTCTTAGGGTTCAGCTTAAAAATATAATTTGCCTACTGCAACTAAGTTTTATGTACTATGGTTAAATCTTTGTTGTTTTAAAAGATAATTTCCACTAAATAAATCCAAGCAGATTTTGTTCTGCAAATGCTGAATGAACAAAGTATTGAACTAAAAAGAGGAGTAATAATTTTCTACTGTCTAAATACTCTTAGAAAGCAGTTAATTTGATTCATTATGTCATAGATCGTGATCCCGGTCACCTGTGGAGTGAGTATCTCTCCAGTCAAGAGATTTTTCAGATCTCAGACTTTTAATGGTGAGGGTTAAATGGAAGAATTACCCGTCAGTTCTTGTCCAGCTTGCTTTTTGAAACACATATTCCCCTGATAAGAATAATTTACATTTCAAGCCCTAAGAGGGACAGAAGGACGCGTTACTCCCTCTTGGGAGCGGGAGTGCTAAAATCGAAGCAGGCAGCTGCGGGACCGCTATAGCCGGCCCTGCGCTCGGGCCCTTCCCGGGCAGGAAGCGCGTCGCTCTCCCCGGCTGCGCCCAGGCGGGTACGGGCGCGCGGGCTCAGCAGCTGCGAACCGCCGACGCACCACCTGTTTCCGCGCCCGGGGACTTCCCCTGGCGGGGCTCAGAAGTGTGGGGTGGGTCGCTTGGCCTCCTCTGGCGTCAGCGACCCAGGGTAACCTCCTCCACTGCCGCCCGCCGTGCAGGCCTGCCTGTGGGAGAGCCACGTGTGCCGCGCTCTGGGCATGGCCTTGGAAAGTCAGGACTGCGACGGCAGCAGAGCAGTGAGTGGAATCAACTCCCCAGTAGAGTGTTTAAAAAGTGCTTCATTGAAGAGTTTGAATCTCAGTTACTTTCTGGATTCTGAGATCTCGAGTAGCGCCGTCCAATAGAAATATAATACAAGCCACATATGTATGCTGAATTTTTCTAGTAGTCGTATTAGCAAATGCATAAAGAAGCGAGTGGAGTTAATTTTAATAGTATATTCTGTTTAATCCAGTGCATCCAAAATGTTATTTCAATCAATAGCAATATCAATGCTGAATATTTTATATCCTCTTTTTTTTTTTTTTTGTACCGTCTTCAAATTCCCGTGTGTATGTTACACTTGCAGTACATCTTACTTCCAACTGGCCGTATTTCCAAGTGCCCAACAGCCCCATGTGGCTTGTGGCTACTGTATTGGACAGTGCAGCTCTAGACCAGCACCCAACTCTAGTGTACCTGGAAAAATGTACCCATGATACTGAGTTGCTAGGAGAGGAAGGCTTATTTCAGAAAAAGGTCATGCAAGTCTTCTGTCGGTACAGCCAGTGCTGACATTCAAGCTGAAAGGGTGTAGATACTATAAGGGCCTCTGTTCGGTGTTAATTTGTTTCTTTAAAAGCTTAATACTATTCTCTGTTGCAGCTTGTTTGTTACCCTCCCCACTTCATTTTCAAGGGCCTGGTATTGTCTTCAAATGCACTTCCATTTTTGGAAAGTGGAGTCGTAAAGCATTAATAATGTGGAGATTGTTTAGTCCATTTCATGCATGAGGACGCAAGCCTGCAGCAGTCGAGTAAACTTGCTTGTTGTTTAACCAATGGCAAAAATGGGATCAGATCCCAAGTCTCCCTAATGTTGAGTCATTTATTGTTTTCACTGTGCTACATGACCTCATTGAAGTAAACTATCACCAGCCAGAACCTAACCATTTTCCCCCAGATTGTTTACAAGGGGTTATACACGATTGAACTTTCAGTTTCTTTTCTGTTCAAGTAGAGCCATCTGGGATTGCTCAAAGTTGGAGAAATCAGTCTATGTACTTCTGCCTTAGTGCCAAAAAAAGAGACGTGCAATATTTACTTATTTTTGAAATAAGGTCTTGCTTTGTTGCCCAGACTGGAGTGCAGTGGCATGATCACGGCTCACTGGAGCCTCGACCTCCTGGGATCAAGTGATCCTCCCATCTTAGCCTCCCAAGTAGCTGGAATTACAGGTGTGCACCACCATGCCTGGTGTATTTTTTTTTTTTTTTTTTTTTTTAGTGATGGGGTTTTTTCCATATGGCCCAGGCTGGTCTGGAACTCCTGAGCTCAAGCAAGCTGCCTGCCTTGGCCTCCCAAAGTGCTGGGATTACTGACGTGAGCCACCATGCCTGGCCAAGAGTTGCAATATTTAGTAAAACTCTTGCGACTTGTCGAGGCATTAAAAGAAAGCATTATGAAAAAAAAATGTCTACTGGAAAATAGCTTAGTTAAAATCTATTGGGACAATATGTTCAAACTCACAGACCTCCACACTTACCCCAGTATTGATTTCATCCCACTGTTTTCTTTAGTGTCTGCTCATGGATCAGTTTTTTCTTCTTTACAGCTGACCCACCTGTATAGTACACTACTGCTGGGCAGTCTGAGACCCATCCAGCCTCGGACGCTGAACTGGTGGGTTCTGAGCGTGATGCTTTCAGTGTCCTGTGGTTCTCCAGCTGTTTCATAGCAGCACAGACTCTCTTGAGCTGTAACTGTCAATAGATATCTTTTTTTCTCTTGTGTGACTAAAGGGAAAAAAAGTATAACTCATTCACTCATTCATGTATTTTTTCATTCATCAGTATTCATGGAGCACCACCTACTGGGTGTTCAAAGCCTTGGGAATATAGCAGTGAACAAAGAACTCCTAGCCTAATACACTAGTGGATGAGACAGAGAATCAAGGAGTAAACAGATGCTTTATTTTATTTTTATTTTTAATTTTTTTTGAGACAGAGTTTTGCTCTGTCACCCAGGCTGGAGTGCAGTGGTTTGATCTTGGTTCACTATATCCTCTACCTTCTGGGCTCAAGAGATCCTCCTGCCTCAGCTTCCCAAGTAGCTGGGAGTACAGGCACGTGCCACCCTGCCTGGCTAATTTTTGTATTTTTTGTAGAGAAGGGTTTTATGTTGACCAGGCTGGTCTCAAACTCCTGGGCTCAAGCAATCTACTCACCTTAGCCTCCCAAAGTAGATGCTGTTATAACCTAATGTCAAAGTAAACAGATAGAAACAAGTACCATTCTGAATAGGATAGACAGGAATGCCTCCTTAGGGAGGTGGCATTTGGAAATGATCAAATTGAAGGGTCACATTGTGTATACAGCTCAGGGAGTACCAAGCAAAGGGAACCACAAATGCTAACGCCTGAAGCTTGCAACGATAAGAACAATTCCAGAAACAATAAGAGAGGCCAGGCCTGGTGGCTCACACCTGTAATCCCAGCACTTTGGGAAACTGAGGGGGGCGGATCACAAGGTCAGGAGATTGAGACCATCCTGGCTAACATGGCAAAACCCCGTCTCTACTAAAAATACAAAAAAGAAAAAGAAAAAGAAAAGCCAGGCATGGTGGCGGGCACTATCCTTCGGAGGCTGAGGCAGGAGAATCACTTGAACCTGGAGACGGAGGTTGCAGTGAGCCAAGATCGTACCTTTGCGCTCCAGCCTGGACAACAAGAGCGAAACTCCATCTCAAAAAAAAAAAGGCGGCGGGGGCTGGGCATGGTGGCTGTCGCCTGTAATTCCAGCACTTTGGGAGGCCGAGGCAGGCAGATCATGAGGTCAGGAGATAGAGACCATCCTGGCTAACATAGTGAAGCCCCGTCTCTACTAAAAATAGAAAAAATTAGCTGGGCGTGGTGGCGGGCGCCTTAGTCCAGCAAACTCGGGAAGGCTGAGGCAGGAGAATCGCTTGAACTTGGGAAGGCCAGAGGTTGCAGTGAGCGAGATCACGCCAACTGCACTCCAGCCTGGGGTGGAACAGTTTCGAGACTCTGTCCCTTAAAAAAAAAAAAAAAAAAACGAGGCCAGGGAGCTAGTATAAAGGAAGCAGAGGGAAAAGGAAGTACCAATGAGGGCAGTTCACCCGCAGGGCCCATGCGTAAGGATTTATGTCACTTGTGCTGTAAGAGGATTACTCCGGGCTGCTTGTATGGAAACATTATCAGGTGGGGGGCGGTTGCAAGAGTGGAAGTGTTATGCCCCAGACTGTTTTTCCCCAAAGAGAACACCACCAGAGTCCAGAGTCAAAGCCAAGCGCACAGGATCTTTACTACAACAAGGTTCGAACTTGGCTCCCCTTACACGGTATACAGAGGGCCCTTTGACAATGCAGCGTTTGCTTTTTATAGCCCGAAAGTTGCAGGGGAACAAAGAAATTCTTTTGGCTCCTGCGCTTTCAGTAACCTTGAACGGCTGTTGCCTTATCGGAGACTTTCCAGGTGGTGATTATACTGGGCTCAGGGAGTTTGAGAGATATATGGTGGTGGGATGGGAGGATGGGATGTGTCTGTGCTAGGCTCAGGGAGTTTTGAGCCTGGGGCTGAGGAATGTGCCCAGCTCCTTCCAGAAGCAGGCAGGCCAGCTAGAAGACTACTGTGATAATCCAGCTAAGATGATATTGGCTTGGATCAAGGGTCCTGGTGCAGTTGGCAGAAGCAGTCAGCTCCTGGATATATTTAGAAAGGAGAGCCGACTGGATGTGTGGAGGAGTGGGTTTGAGGAGGAGGATCCAGAGTTCTGCTGAGGACATTTTAAGTTGAAGATGCCTAGTTTATATGCATGCCCTGCCGTGTGGGCAGATGTAAATCAGGAGCTCAGGGGCAAACTTGGGGCTAAGAATGGGAGGTGCCGGTGCAGAGAAGGTGTTTAAAGTTTTGGTTGAATTCTAGGGCGTATAAGTTGTTAGGGAAGTGAGTGTGCTTGTTCTTGAGTTGCTGGAAAGGCGTATAAACGACACAAATACATGGCCACAATATGTATTTTCTCAATAATATTTGGGGAAATGTTCTGGGCATCAGGTTTCCCGTCTAATTTTCCCTGTAGGAAGCGGATAGTCATTGAAGTAGTTTTGATTTGGGTGTGAGTTGTTACATGGAAAGCGAAGTTCTAAGTTCTCTTGCTACTTTTCTTGTTCTGCATCTTTCGAGAGTCATTACGAGAACTGAACACTAGGGGGACCCAGTTTCCTTACTTATGCAACCGGGTCTGGCCCAGCTCTGGGCTCTGGTCACCCTCGCATAGGACACATGCAATATAAACACAAATCTGAAAACAAGGGCAGCTTCTCTTTTCTCAATGCAATGTGTACTTATAGCAGTGATCATTTTTGCGTGTAATATGTCTGAATTCCTTAAATAGGTCATTTTAAGTAATGTGCATAACCATTAAAATTTTTCTTTCTTGAGACAGGCTCTCACTCTTTGCCAAGGCTGTGAGCAGTGGTGCCATCTGGACTCATTGCAGCCTCTGCCTCCTGGGTTCACGTGATCTTCCCAGCTCAGCCTCTCGAGTAGCTGGGACTACAGGCATGAGCTACCATACCTGCCTTATTTTGGTTTTGCCATGTGGCCCAGGCTGGTCTTGAACTCCTAGGCTCAAGCAATTCACTCACCTTGGCTTCCTAAAGTGCCAGCTTTACAGGGATGAGCCACCACACCTGGCCACCATTTAAAGATTTAAAGGCAATGGCTTCTCAACTCTAGTTCCCTATTCGTGAGCCCCATATTTGCAAACTTGTGAAAATAAGGATCATTATTTCTTTTTTATTTATTTTTGAATTTGTGTTATTTGAAATAGAGTCTTGCTCTATCGCCCAGGCTTGGGTGCAGTGGCGCAATCTCGACTCACTGCAACCTCCACCTCCCAGGCTTGAGTGATTCTTCTGCCTCAGCCTCCCGAGTAGCTGGGATTACAGGCATGCAACAACATGTCCGGATAATTTTTGTATTTTTAGTAGAGATGGCATTTCACCATGTTGGCTAGGCTGGTCTCGAACTCCTGACCTCAAGTGATCCACCTGCCTCAGCCTCTCAAAGTGCTGGGATTACAGGCGTGAGCCACCATGCCCAGCTGAGGGATCATGATGATTTCTGATTTACAATAGTTGAATTAGAGTATGGAAATCTAAATGTTATAAATACGACTTGGTGATTTTCATCTGCGCCACAAGAATGCTGACATAGAATCCATTTTCTATTTTATCACCAGGTATTAAGCTAAGGGAAAGGCAAATAAATGCTCAAAAACTACATTACATGTTATTGGAGTATAAAATGTACAACTTTGTTAAAAGGTTTGGACACATTTTGTATTAGTTACGGATACATAGGTCTTAAAACAGTACAAGATCTTAACTCTTTTTTTTTTTTTTTAGATGGAGTTTCGCTTCGCTCTTGTTGCCCAGGCTAGAGTGCAATGGCGCAATTTCGGCTCACCGCAACCTCCGTCTCCCAGGTTCAAGTGATTCTCCTGCCTCAGCCTCCCGAGTAGCTGGGATTATAGGCATGCGCCACCGTACCCACCTAATTTTCTGTTTTTAGTAGAGGTGGGGTTTTCCCATGTTGGTCAGGCTGGTCTCAAACTCCCGACCTCAGGTGATCTGCTGCCTTGGCCTCCCAAAGAGCTGGGATTACAGGCCTGGAGCCACTGTGCCTGGCCCAATTCATTTTTATAACTCGAATAATTTTAGTTTTGGGGAGAGAAAGTCTACATAAGGTTTATACTGAAACCTCTTGAAGTCAACAAGCTTAAAGCAGAATCTTTTTAATCAGGAAAATGAAAGCATAATTAACAGCCTGGTGTGGTGGCTCACACCTGTAATCCCAGCACTTTGGGAGGCCAAGGAGGGTGGATCACCTGAGGTCAGGAGTTTGAGACCAGCCTGGCCAAGATGGCGAAACCCCGTCTCTACTAAAAATACAAAAATTAGATAGGCATGGTGGCACATGCCTGTAATCCCACCTACTTGGGAGGCTGAGGAAGGAGAATCACTTGAACCTGGGAACTGGAGGTTGCAGTGAGCTGAGATTGCGCCATTGCACTCCAGCCTGGGCAACAAGAGTGAAACTCCATCTCAGAAAAAAAAAAAAGGAAAAAAAGAAAACATAATTAACAAATGTGTTAGCTATAATGTCAGACGCGGCGGCTCACGCCTGTAATTCCAGCACTTTGGGAGACCGTGGTGGGCAGATCACTTGAGGTCAGGAGTTCGAGACTAGCCTGGCCAACATGGCAAAATCCTGTCTCCACTAAAAATATAAAAATTAGCTGGGTGTGGTGGTGCACGCCTGTAATCCCAGCTCCTTGGGAGGCTGAGGCAGGAGAATTGCTTGAACTCGGGAGGTGGAGGTTGCAGTGAGCCAAGATCATGCCACCACATTCCAGTCTGGATGATAGAGCAAGACTGTCTCAGAAGAAAAAAAAAAGTGTTAGCTGTTTGATCTTTCCCATTTTGGGGGCAGTTATGATCTAATAATTACTTTGACCACAATGAATCCTTTCCCATGGGTCAGGACTGTTAGTTTTCAGAGTTTTGCTTCTGGCGATAGTGACCTGTGCCAGTGTTACAGATGTGTGGTGAAGGGGCTAGAAACTGTGGTCCACAGGCCAAATCCAGTCCACTGCTTTTTTTTTTTTTTCAGCCTGAGAGCTAATAGTGTGTGTGTTTTTTTAATGTTTTTATGTGATTGAAAGAAATACATATTTTCTGTATGAAAATCTTGTGAAATTCACATTTCAGTATCCATAAATAAAATTCCATTGAAACACTGCCACATTCATTGATTTATATATTGTCTGGGGCTGCTCTTGACCGTCAATGGCAGAGTTGACTAGACAGAGGCCTCGTGGCCTGCAAAGCTTTAAATATTTACTATCTGGACCTTTACAGAAAAAGTTTGCCAACCCCTGGCATGTAGAGTCCATGCTGTTTACTTACAGGTTACAACAGTTCTTAGAACGATTCTGTAACTGAGTGTAATCTTTATTTGCCTTTATGATTCTTGATAGGCTTACTCTGGCTACCATGATATCATTTCATTCATATATTTTTCATTAATAATTAAATTCCATCGCTGCTTTCATTCTTATTTCAATTCTTAGATGAAAACGTGCTTCTTCATTTGATTATATTGTTTAATTTTTGTTTCCCTCTCCTGTTATTCATTACTTAATACTTCCCTTGAATTATTTAGTCTTTTTCTAAGGTGCTTTAAAATAATTTGTATGAAAGACTCAATCTAAAATAAAATTGTCCTGCTTTCAATGACCAAAAAAAAAAAAGAAGACATAAAAAGTTCAGGCCACACACGATGGCTCACACCTATAATCCCAGCACGTTGAGAGGCCTAGGCAGGTGGATCACCTGAGGTCAGGAGTTTGAGGCCAGCCTGGCCAACATGGTGAAACCCCATCTCTACTAAAAATACACAAAATTAGCTGGGCATAGGGGTGGACACCTGTAATCCCAGCTACTCGGGAGGCTGAGGCAGGAGAATCACTTGAACCTGGGAGGCAGAGGTTGCAGTGAGCTAAGATTGTGCCATTGCACTCCAGCCTGGGCAACAAGAGCGAAACTCTGTCTCTAAATAAATAAATAAGTAAATAAACAAATAAATAAACATTAAAAGTTCAGTAGATACTTCTTGGGAAACTTTATGTGTCTGTAGTAGAGTTAAAAGGTTTTACAGAAGATAAATGTTAAAAAATTATTTATTTGGAGTGAATCTTTGGTGAGTTTTTATAATTTTAATTGCATCAAACACTGAATGCTGTGAGAGTCAATAAAAACTTAGAAGAAAATCAGGCTCTTTAAAAAAACCATAAATTTATTGCAAATCTAGAAGTACCAGAATGTCACGAATACAGAACAAATCAGCAATCTTGTTTGTATTTTCTTCCAAACATTTAAAACCTTGATTATTGACATATTGAAATTGGCATACATTTTGTTTTCATGCAGATAACAGAACAGACATGGAGCAGATCCCTCAGAAATCAGTTATAAATATTAAATTGTATTGAACATTCATAGTAAAAAATATGTTGTAAAGTGCTGAAGTCATGTTAAGTCTGCAAAACTGCCACAAGCTCAAAGTTCTTCTCAAGCAGTGACAGAGATTTGCTACATCCACCTTGCTTTAGGTATGTCTGTTTTTGACAGACACTTTGTCATTTCCTCCCCCACCCTCCCCAGAGTTTTATAGATTGTCCTATTTCTATGGCTGATAAGATGCTCTACAGATTGTAGCAGGTAGTGATGAACTATGCCACTTTCATTTCAGTGCAGAGAAATATTCAAGCTTGTGTGTACCTGTAACCAAACTAGGCTTGTTACGGTTTTCCCCCCGAGTTGTCATAAATTGACATTAACGATGAATAAAGATGGAGCAGCAAGCATTGACCATCACCTGCAGGGTGAGATTGCGGTAAAATAGGTGAGTAAAAAGTCCACCTATTATCCTGA